ATACAACAACAGCAACAACAACAACAACAACAACAAAAAGAAGAATTACTACAAAGTAAACAAGATAGAAGAAAAAAATACGTTGATCTCCCCCACCTCCCCCAGATCCCAACATAAACTACAGATTATTATTCTATTGGTTTTTATTCTGCTTACCTTGTCAGGTATGCGGACATCTGCTGGCGCCACGTATACACTAACGACGCTAACGGCTTTGACGAATTCGGAACTGTGGAAGAGCTTATCGACTACATCAACAAAGGTCACCGGGTCAGAGTTCGAGTTGATGACATGTCCATGGAGGTCAGCAATGTGAGGGTCAAGGACAACATTGTCGCAGCTCAGCTATTGAACGAAGTCTCGCGTGTCGGGGGATACGGGCAGGATAGGTGAGGGAATCATCATCATCGTCATCATCATCATCATCATCATCGTTGTTATAGAAGAAAAAATATGGAAAATGAGAATTCATTTAATGTTTTGTCATTTGTAGGCTTCACCAGGAACCTTATTGGGAAAAAATCATCATCATCATCATCATCATCATCATCATCATCATCATCATCATCATCATTCAGACGTAAAGAAGATATCGGCAGTCATGGTTCCCACAAACTTTTTTCTGCTGAGATTCTACATCGATTATATTTCACTGTATTGTGATCAAAAATGCTCAGGAAAATAGAAAAAATCGTGCATTGGTGTGTGGACTAACAACTGCTTACTTGTGTCTCCAAAAAATCGCGACGATAAGAGCATATTTGGCTTTTTAAAAATAACTTTTTTGAAAACGTTGTGTTTTTAATGGCGTTCAGTAGTTATTGCTGTACCAGTAAACCTTGTTACCAAAATTATACAATGTAATATTTTATACAAAACCAACAGCCGGAAGTAGACGAATCCACCGTCAAAACTCTCAAACGAATGACGTAATCGCATTCTTGTGTCACGTGGCCCTACAGGTACCATATCGAGTCTGACACACGCGCCAAGTTCTCCATCGTGCACACGACGGGCAAAGTCATCTGTCACGAGTACCTTGTGGGCTCTACAAGCAGGAAGGTGAGCACTCAGTCCTACTAATGTCTTTCATTTGTTTTATTTTTTTGTTTGGTAAGTGTTTTTCGACCCTGGCAACTGCAGAAGGTCATATAGGGACACATTAAACATTTTCAGTTTTGTAGGAATTTTGAATTTTGCACGGGTGGCGACCGAATCTTGTTGATTTCAGGAGCACCATGGGATCTTTAACGTGCGCAACTTGCATACGAGACTTCCGAAATTTTTGCCTTTATTCGAAAAAGCTAGGTTTTACATTTTACCTACCAAAAGATCAAGGGTATAGCAGACAGACAGCAGTAAGACGGAGCCAAGGAGTAGCAGTAGAAAGGCCTCAGAAAGTAAGGAACCCAGAGGAGGGGGCAAAGAGGAGGGGTAGAGCAGAAAGTGGAGACAAAGCAGACGACAGAATATGGTTAGAAAGCAAGAAAGGAGATGAAAGGAAAACATTTTCCGTCACTGTCAAGTTTCGAACCTGGGACCTATTGCATGAGAGGAGAACACCGTGATCACGAGCGCCCCCTGTGTTTTTCTTACTTAAATCCCGTTGGTGTTTCTTTCGGGCGGGTGGGAA